AGCAAGGTGCAATTTTTGTGAAATCAAAATTGTAATTAGCCTCAGTCCTTTGTGAATCATGAAACAAGGCATGAGTGCGACATTGAAGATCTAGGGATTGATGAAAGAAACAACCCATGATCCTAAATGCCACACCGATGGCTTGGTTCATCTTATTGAAATGAAATAATTGACATCATAGGCTAAAAAAAAGTGGCCTCAGCTCTAGAATTTGGTGCTGCAATTCATGTAAGTACTCATCATAGGTGGCTGCACATGTAGCAAACAAGTCCAGAAAAGCAGCAAGTTTGAGACTGCAAATAAGTAGGAACAGAACATCAAGGCTGCCATGGAACCCATCTGGCCATCCATTCTCTATCGTCATCCAACTGGTGTTGCAAGAGAATGGATGGTTCATATGGATTTGATGGCAGTCATGAAAACCAGCAAGAACAAGCCATGAAAAAACAATAACAGAAAATAGTTGTGCAGCCACCTCATTGTTTTTTCACATTTTGCGTCATAGGCCAGATCAGAAACCCACTTTAGGCATCAACTCATGGAAACACAAGTATCAAATCCAACAAATGACAGAAATATATGAAAGCATGAAGTGAAGATTCAAATAAGGCCATCCCCACGGGTTCAATGACACCCATGAATAGCACAATATAATACAGTCCTCCCAATACAACAGGAACATAAAGTGACAAATATAGTAGCAGTAGCAGTAACCAACAAAGGTTACTAATTAATACATCAAGTTTGTCTCCAAACAAAGGTTCAACCCACAACAAGTAGGCACTTAAGTGAATGTAACACCCTCGGTGTTACACTGTAGATCATTTACTAAAATATGTTATGAGCATCATGTTTATGTGTTATTGCATGTAATAAAGTGTGTAGATCAATTTCTATAACTCGAAACGATCAACTCGAATGCGAAACGAAAGTTAATTCAATAGTCATGTTATATCACTTAAGGTTGAAAACCAATTTTTATCAAGCAAAAATGCTATGAAACATGTATGTGATACTTAAATAAAGTTTGAAGTACAAACTTTGTAGATGACAATGAAATACTTGAGGTAGAAAAATGATATTACTAGCTAATATTTCCACTAGCTTAGAAATAGCAAATGGAAGTCAATTTCAGCTCAAACACTTAGAAATTTTCAAGTTTGCCGACTGTTAGACACTGCTATGTTTAGCAATTTATCGTGAGAGATTGGATTAAGGAATAGTGAAGTATTATGGCTTGTTTTAGTAGCCTAATGGACCCCCTAAGGTGTAGCGAAGTGGGTTTGGGGATGGGAGCAACTGGTTAGAGGTTGCAAACACTTTAAAAACCGTGCACAGCGCGTTCTCAGCCGATTTCCCTGTCTGTGCGCGGTCACCGGGCCCGCTGCCCCGACGTCGTAGTGTCAGCGCGTGCACGCGCGCGCATGGCCACACGCTGGCCAGACGCTGCTGCCGCAGGCTGCCCGCTCGGGTGCGCCAGCTAGCCGTCAACGCGAGCCGCCGCGCCCCGCCCCCTGCGCGTGGTTGCCCACCACGCTGTGACGCGGCCGCCGTCGTCCCATCACAGCGCTGCACGCCTACTCACTACACCGTGCCTCGCTACCATTGCACCGCCATGTGCTCCTACACCATGGCGTTGCTGCCTTCCTGCCACGCACGTGGGATGCTGCCTTGTGGCGCCGTCGGTCCACCATTATGGCGCTGCGGCGTGCGGGCCAGAGCCAGCCGTGGCCGCTTGTGCTCGCCGCTTGCGCCTGGCGTTTGTACCCTGGTTGCGACGCTCGTGTCCCACAAAGAGCGCCAGCTGCATCACTGCTCGTCGTTGTTTCCACCGCTGCGCCCTCTCCTGCTTCCCACCGTGGTCACATCGTGACCCCGGTGAGCCAGAGCGTGGGAGCTTGCCTTAAATCTCGCGTGCTCGTGTCTCTGCCTTGGCGTCCATGTGCCAACTATCCCCACCCCGCCTTGAATTGTGTCACGATGTGCTCCAATTTGGAGTTTTCCCTCCATCGTGCCATTAAGGCCGGGTTCAGCCGTGGCCGAGGGCAACCACTCACCGCACCATCCCACGCCTAGCCAACTGCGCCACGAGCTTTGCCTCCACCTCCACTGCACCCTACACGCTGACTTGCACCTCTATCGCCTCGCCGGTGCTGCTGACATGGCCGTGCCGTCGTGGAGCATCGGCGCCTCCCGCCAGCCGCACGTGGCCAGCCCTGCTCGGGGTATCTCCGACTGAACCATCACCGCAGCCATGATCGGGGTAAGCTAGTGATGCTCTCATGATAGCTAGTAGCTACGAGGTGGTCTAGGGTGGCCGGTACGGTCGCGCTACCGTCACATGCGGCCGCTCACCATGGTCGTCACTCCCGCAAGCTCCGTCGCTACCGTAGCTTTGGCTAATGTAGGCGCTAGGGCTGTAGGTGCAGATCGGCCCGCTATCTGGGTTGGGGCGGGTCCCGGTTGGCTGGCGTGGCCGTCTAGTGCCACATCCGCCGCGCCAGCGCATGTAGGGGTGGCCAGGGACCTGGCCGTGGTAAAGGCGATAGATTGCAGGGTCCTATCCGCATAGTCTCTCTCTCGGGAAATAGTGCTGTGGACTGCGGGTTGATTCGGTCTTAGCGCGGGGGCATTTTTGTAAAGTTGGCAGCACGCGCGGGTCGCCCGATCATGGGCCGCCTCGTGGTGGGCCGCGTCCACAAGGGCCACACGATGGTGGGCCATGGAGTGCAATTCATTTTTCCTTTTCTTAAGGAATTAGAAATAGCTTTAGATTTTAATTTATGAGCTAAACTTTGAAAATTAATATCAATTCGCATAGATGTCCAAAAATTATGAAATAAATTTTGTTTAGTTCCTAAAAATGTTGCCTATCTGATGGCATAGTTAGTTTATGCATGTCTGAGTTGATACTGAGGTCTATTAAATCAATTGTGAGTGTTTAGTATTATTTAGGTTAATATTTGTAGGAATTTTTGTGGCAAATGGGTAATAGTTTTGTCCATGAAATTTTTACAGTAGGTTCATTATATTATTATGTGCTCACTGTAATTTTTATAGCCTTAGAATATGTTGATAAATAGGGTAGCTAAGCACTCCTTGTTTTAGTATATATGAAATCGTAAATAAAGTAAGAAATGCATTTTTGGTTGCTAAGATAATACTTGAATGTTTCATACCTGTTTAGTCGAAAGGATGGGTAGCTTAGCATCTTAGTCATTAGAGTTAGCTTAGTAGCTTGGTAGATGTATTGTTATTTTAAGAGCTGCTGTTGCTAAAATGCTAAGTGTTGCATCATCATTGCATGCATGTAGAGAACGCGTTGGTGGAGTTCATGACCGCTGGAGAGCAGGAATATGAGGAGGTGATTGAGGAGTACGAGGAGGAGGTCTTCGTACAGGAGGAAGCCTTGGAGCCACCAACGACTGACATAGCTGACCACCCGCCTACCCAAGGCAAGCCCTGGTGCATAACCCTTATTTTGAATAATTACTGGAAATATATATATGATGTGCATTTACATTATAGGATTTATATTGAAACTACATGCATAGATATACCTACCTATGAGTCCTACTAGCTTAGGTCGAGTAGCTGCTATGCTTAGGTTTTTCGGTAGCATGAATAACCTGTCGTTACTCACAATAGGTGATTATTATTATCACTCTCATGATAAAATGGTGAAAAGAAATAGAGTCTGGGCAGGGATATGGTATGGGTATTGGTGGTTGTAAGAGGTTGTGTCCCACGGCCAATGGGCCATAGCTTGATTACACTGTTTTCCCTGTCCATATCGGTTAAGGACCGACCATTGCATTTGATTCTAGTCAGGTCACAGACTTATTATCCTGAGCACATACTTGTTTATGGGAGCAGGGAAGGCTCATTGCTCTCTTGTCGTGGGTTTCGGCTCTTTTTGGACCGACTAACTAGAGTCAGGGATGGTGGAGGTCTAAGCACCACACTGAGTCCGGGACTCCGGTGTGGGGGCTTGGAGTCCAAGTTTGGACAGGGACCTAGACCCCTTGACAGGAGAGTGGTGGGTTGGTCCTGCTTGTGCTTGGGGTACAAGCGGGGTGTGTGTTTCGGGGTACCTAGTTGGGCACATTGATTCGTGAATCGTCGGGTAATCCGGTACGACTTGTCTACGATCTAGCACCGTAGTAAGAACTGAAAGATGAAAGATGGTGAAATAGATCTGTTTGCTCAATTCTTGCTTGAAAGTAGAACATGTGCTTACCTAGAATGGTTAGATAATGAATTAATCATGATTGCTAATAAGAAACATACATAAGGATTCACTACTAGTATTGCTTTTTACAAAAAGAAAACCTAGCAAACCATAAAGCTTATCATATCCTTTGGAGTCAGGAAATTATTCCCACTAGTCGGGTAAGTCTTGCGAGTACATTGTCTACTCAGGGTTTATTCACCCCTGTTGTAGGTGCAGCTTGATGAGTAGCTGTTGTGTGGAGGATTCTTCTGGTGGGCATAGATGGATCATTGTATTCTACTGTTAGATGTTTATTGTAATTTCACTGTTTAAATTCCACACTCTGAACTTAGTATTGTAATAATGTATTTCTAAGAACTCTTGTTGTATGAAATGGACTAAGTATTATAAACTTGTTCTCATTATTGGATCATGGAGAAAAAACATGGATTATTCGAGTTCTCCCTTAGGGTGTGCTCGACGGAATCCGTCCGATGTAGCTTGCTTTTGGGGTGCTTAGTGTCTGGTGGAAGACGAGCGCCTCTGAAGGTGTGTTATATCGGGCGGTTCTGCCACAGTGAACTACCAAGTTACACTTGCTCAGATATAGTTAGCCACCCTCCAACTATGCAAACCCAAAAGGACAGGTGATGGTCAGTCATCTACCATGTACAGGAGCTACACCAAAATGGAACCCAAAAGAGAAGAGAGTGGGTGAGGGCGGTGGAGGAACTATACATCTCATCAGTCAACCCCCTCCTTACCTTGCTGTCCTAGATGTACAGAACTACATATAGTAGTTCTTGGCAAGGTAGTTCCTTAGCCAAATGTCCCTATGGCTTATTGCCATGTTCACAAAGCCCCTGCCTAGGGCCTTGTTTTCCAGCAGGTAGGTGTAGATAACAATGAGAGCTTCAGTGGTGAAGCCAGGCATCTCCATCACAACAAGATAGAGGTCAGGATCCACATGTGCAGGCCTAGTCTCTCTAAGTGTAGAGGCTACGTTGTTGACAGCATCAGTCATGTTAGTCATCATCAGCATCTCTTCCTCATTGAAATTACCCCTCTTTCTCTTTACTCCCACATTGGAAGTGAGCAGCTCAGTTGCCTTGCTGCCCTCACCCATATCAGGGCTATATTTGATATCAACAGCAGTGGTAAAGCCCTGGGCCTCAATCTTAGCAAAGAACATCACAACATTGTTCACCCCAAGTGGCTAACTAGAACCTAGGGCAAACCTACTAGTGGCCATGGAAGAACCAAATATGGTCTCCATCTCAGTGTAGAACTTGATTGGGGTGTTGAGGAATTCAGCATTCTTAGGATGGTCCTACAGTCATGTGTGCTAAAGTAAATAAACAGGGAAGAAGAGAATAAGTGCCTACAAGGGAAAGAGACAAGAGAGAGGAAATTGACTCAGCTTTCTACCTTGCGCAAGGGCATGTAGTGCTCAAGTTCAAGCATTATGGCATTGATATCCTGATCAAACAATGCACCACTAAGGTCCTTCAACTTCACAACCCTTGCCCACTTCTATCTCCACTTCCTCAAGTGGTTTTACACTTGAGTAGGGCTCACAGCCTCACCATAGTAATCTAATAAAGCCTTTGCCACATAGTTCATATCCTTATCCTTGAAGCATTTGTCAGCCCTACTGCCATCAAAAACTAACTGGGCCATCCTCCTAAGGACAAACCCAGATGTGTTGTTATTCCACCTCATGGGGGACCTAGCACCACCAGCACCCCCCTAGGTAGGCACTACCACAAGTGCATCAGCCCCCACATCCACCACCTCAGGTGCAGCAACAACAACCATCTTTGGCCCAACAAATTGCTAAGGCCAAAGACTAGCCACACACGACCATGTCGTGACTACCACAAACCCAGCCATCCTAATAAGGTCACCATACATCACATGAAGGTAGGCATCAACAACAAATAGCATATGAAGATGAACAAGACATAGAAGATGAACAACAGATATATGATTGGTCTCAGTCATGTCCATAAAAACATAATCATCATAAAACAATTCCATATTGATCTCAGTCATGTCCAACAGTTATTATAGATGATGAATACACCACATGAGTTCCATATCCAGGGTCTACAAACTAAAATTATACAAGAATACAAAGCATGAATCAAACCCTAGCAATACCCCTACCAGCCCACATGGCATTACAAATGCCATCCCTCCTATTAAACATGCTAGTGGAGTCCTAGGACAGCATGTCTCCCACACCCTGGGTTTCATCACCCTCAGGCTGGCTGGCTAGGAAGCCCTCCTATTCTGGCACTACTTCATCCATGCCAAACCCAATGATCCAATTATGGAGAATACAACAAGCCATCACAAGCTTCACTCGAGTCTTGTATGTGTGGAAAGGTTTGTTGTCTAGGATACAAAATCTGTTCTTGAGTGCACCAAAAGCTCTCATCACTGTCACCCTAAGGGATGAATGCCTTAGGTTGAACAGTTCCCTAGCATTGGTAGGATAATTGTGGCTCCCAAATTAAGACAAGTGGTACCTCACCCCCCTATAGGGAGGGAGGAAACTAGTGCAGCAAGCATAGCTAGCATCTACTAGGTAAAACTTCCCTACAAGTGGATCAAAAGATATACTATAGTGAAGATGTGTGACAAGTTAAAGGACAAAAGTGTATGGACTATTAATTTGAGTTACCTTCAGGAACTATGAACCCATCATTCCTGTCAATTGCATCAGCAAGAATGAGTGCATCATGGGCAGAGCCCTCCCAGCCAGCTAGGACATAGGTGAACTTGAGATTAAAGTCCACAACAGCCATCACATTTTATGTGGGGTTGTGTTTCCTACCCCTGAAAGCCTACTGCATGTGTCTAGGCACCCTTGCCAACACATGTGTGCCATCAATGGCACAAACACAGTCCTCAAAATGTGTAGGATAGTGGATAAGTGCAAACATAGCAATTGGTTAAACCCAAGGCAGATAAACATGATTAACAAGTACCTGCATATATGGGTACCATATCTGGCTACCCATGATTTTTGGATATGTGGCAGTGGTAGGAGGCTTGATCATTTTATTCCTAAGCTCACCAACAACATATAGAACTTGGTGGAAGACACTACTAACTATCTCAATGGACCTCCTAAAAGACTAGTGAACTACCCTGAACCTCTGGTGGTGACCAACAACATGGAGGAACATTGCAACCTACTCCTTAATAGAACACCCACTGGTTTCTCTAACGAGGCCTCTATCTCTAAAAAGGTTGCATAGAGCAAAAAAGGAGCTCGATCATACGCAACATAGCCAAGCACTCAAAGATCAGTCTTTGTTAAATATCATTTGGAGGGTGGTTAGCCTATGGTGCTTTGGCTTAATGGCCTAGGACCATAAGGGACAGGCTCTAACTGGGCCCTAATTCTTCTTAGTCTAGTGACAAAAATGAAAGCATAACCACAACCATAGCAGACTGCTTGCCTAGTCATCATCTCACGCACGTTGTGCAGTTGGATCCATCTACATGCATTCAACATTCAAAGATACAACTTAGCAGTAGTAGACCCTAGCTAGCCTTAACATGAAAGTGCAATCATTCATATCAAAAGCTAACAACATGGCTGCATAAAAAGAATGCCTCCAGTGCATGGGACAGAATCATCATCGACCATATGAAAAGTACCAACAATGTAGCATAAATGTTTCAGAGCTCGAAATCAACATTCATAGAAACTACACAAGCATCATGTACCCAAACAATCATTCCACAGAGACAAATCAAAATCAAAATAGGGCAATAGGAAACCCTAGAATGAAAGCAAAAGGGATCTAGGGGGATTTCACCTCGTGGGAGTCGATGGAGATAGGAAGAAGCGCAAGATGGAGAAGAAGAGCCACAGTGGAAGCAAAAGTAGATCCGGTATGGGACGAAGCAGATCGACCCCAACCGAGACCAGCTGCACCACCGAAGGAGTAAGAAGACGAAGGAGGAAGACAACCGCGTCCACAGAGCCCGGTAGGAGGCGTAGCAGTGCCGCAGCCAAGCGGATCCTGACCGCCTGAATGGAGATGAAGACCGGAGAGGAAGAAGACCGTCGCATCGCACCACCACCACACCAACACCGTCGGTCACTCAACACGAACGCAGTGGGGAAGACGGAGCTAGAGGAGGGAGAAGATGGCAGCGAGGGTGGCATATAAAGGCAGCATATTTCAACGAGGAGGAGCATGGGATGAAGTTTCATGGTTCCCGCGTGAGCCCACGCGAGCCGCCGTCGCTGCCCTGAAATCACCCGTGCGAGGACGGAGGGAGCCTGGCTCCAAAAAAACGAACCCCAGGAGCGTTCTCCCGCAATTAGGAGAGAGAGAGTGCGTTTTGCATGACCAGAGCCGGGCCGCCAGTTGGGCCAAGCAAAACAAATAGACCGGGTTGCAGCTGGGGAGCGTCGGCTAGCCCCTTGCCCCTATATCAAACAGGCCTAGAACGTCCCGCTCTGCTGCTCGCCACCCATGTATAGATGGCCAAAGGGCCGGCTCGGCTCAGCACGGCACGGGCACGGGACAGGCACGGCCCATAGGGGGTCGGGCCGACACAGCACGCCGTGCCACTCGGGTTGTGCCTCTCCGGGCCTCGTGCCTAGCCTTTGGCCCAAGCATGACACTATGGGCCATAATTCGTGCCGTGCCGGCCCGCTAAGCACGGCCAGATCTACGGGTCATGCCGGCCCAAAGCCTGGTGACCTTAAGGCACCTCAAAATGCTTCTCATCCAACACTTAGCATAGATTTATTCATTCAAATTTCAAAATCTCAATTCACCAGACAGAATCACAATTTTTCACAGATTCAAACTTCTAAGTAAATGATCAAATGACTCATTCACAATCACAATTGTTCATAGATTCAAACTTCTAAGTAAATGACCAAATCCAAATGACCAAACTCAGTTACTCAGCCACAAACTGATCACAGATTCTAACTTCTAACTTGAGAACTTAGCAAACTCAAAATGACCAAATCCAACAAAATAAAAGGAGATAAGATAAACGAGCTATTTGTGCAATGCTGCATCATTAAAAACGTTTCTAGGTAAAACTCACCCTTGTGAGAAACCCTAGAAAGGGAAAAAGAGTGCACCATATCTCTTAAACTAAACCATTGTTCAAAGGTCTCACAGTCACAGTCTCACAGATGACAGATACAGATAACACTCTCCTCTCTCAAGTCTCAACTCTCAAGTCTCACACTAACTCACTAAGTACTAGCATCAGCCCCAATCCCCACTCCCCAGATAACACTCTCCTCTCTCAAGTCTCACACTAACTAAGTTTCACACTAACCAGCACTAGCCCCAGATGTACCACCGGCCCTAGATGTAGCACCAGCCCCAATTGTACCAGCAGCAGCCCTAGATTCATCTTTATCAAGATACAAATTGTTGAAGGAGTCTTCCAACTCTTGGTTGTAAACAACATGTTGTAATCTTCTTTCTCCTAACTCCCAATCCTTTATGCAGGTCAGCATCTCCATAGTTTCAGGCAACAAGCGTCGTCACCGCTCTTCAATTATCCTTCCTATCAAGCTAAAACATGATTATGAAGAGACAGTAGAAACATGAACTGACATAATATCTCTAGCCATTATAAATAGGATTTGATAGGTTAGTTTGTGGTCACGCCACCAGAGAAGTAAATCAAAATCATCCTCATATGAAGTGATATTGTCACTGTCTAGATAAACTGAGAGCTCACAAACAGCAGAACCAGATGAAGATAAAGTGGGGGGAGAGGCAAGGGAAGGACCAACAATACTAGATCTAGGGCTTCCAAAGATTCTTCCCGATGCCTGTTTTTTCTTACATGTATGGCTTGCAGGCTGTGCAACCCTTTGAGACCTAGCTGCACCAAACTTTCTCTCATATTTGTTAAACAACTTGTAAATTTTAGTTTTCACATTAGCATAATATGAACTATAGTCACACCAATGTTCTCTTTAAGTATTTGCGAACATTAAACAAACCTCTCAACTTAGCTCTAGGATCAAGTATGAATGCAAATAAATATAATAGAAGTATATCTTGCTAGTATTTAAGGAATTTAAGCTTCATAGGATATACAATAGCTATTAGATTTTGATCTTTTCACTTGCATGCAAATGAGAAGAAATCTCTAGCAGATGGTGCGTAATAAGTGGACTAGTTGGATAGTAAACACCGGAAAAGAACAACAAAGGAGTCATAAAATAGTTCTAGAAACTCCAATATCTTTTCACTACACATACCAATGCCTTGCAGATACAACAATTGTGAGCCATAATTGGAATTAATGAACATAGAAAAACATGCTTATATGGAACCAAGTGTTTAAGCATAAGGTATGTAGCATTCTATCTAACATCCATATCTAAACCAAACTTTCTAGGTCTAACACCATGAGCAGTATAGTAGTTCTTGAACATAGCAATTCTTTGATTAGAGGAATTTAAGAAGTTAATAGCAGTTCTAAAATCTTCTGTGTAAGGTTTGAATATCTTTAAATCAGATTTTACAATCAGATTAATGATATGACAAACACAACGTTGATGCACAGGACTATACTTACGCTTAGAAGGATCTGAAGGCTCAGGTGAAGGATCAGGACCTAAATAACCAACAAACATAGATGTCAAAGTATTCATAGCCTTAGCATTAGAAGAAGCATTGTCTAAAGTTACAGAGAAAACCTTGTCAATCAGACCATACTCCTCAATCACACAAGCAATTCTTTCAGCAATATTTTCACCAGAATGTTTCACCTCAATCAACTTAAGACCAATAACCTTTTTCTATAACTCCCAATCAGCACTCACATAATGAGCAACAACACTAATGTAGTCCTCCTTAGCATTACCAGACCAAATATCTAAAGTCAAAGCAACAGAGAAAGCAGCAGACAACACAGAATTCTTAAGCATATTACGTCGTTCAGTAAACAGCTTACTAAGATCTCTAGTGGTGGTATGTTTAGATGCCTTAACAAACATAGGGTTATGAGCATGAACAATGTACTCCTCCTAGGTCTCTGTCTCACCAATATCTAACGACAAATCAAGCCTAGCAATCCAGCGACACAACTCAGATCTAGCAACATCAGGTTTATAATTCCAGTTATGCACAGAACCATTAGGATTGTAAGCAAACCTAGATTGAACCCTAGCAGCTTGATCAGTTTTTTGCCTACAAGATTTCTAGTGCCTCTTTAAGTGGCCAGTGCCAGCAGAAGATATAGCAGACAACGTATGCTTACACATTTTATAGGTAGCTTTAGTGCAAATCTGTCTACCATTCACAGTCTCATAGACCTCATCAAAATCAGCCCACACAACAGATTTACGCTTACCAACAGAAGAGCTACCAGCAACAGATGGAGATGAGCTGTTGAAGACGACCGGGGTCCCAGTCGCCGTCGCCCCTTCATCACCACCGCTGTCGTCGCCGTTCAGATCGATCGGAGCAGAACCGCTACCGACATCGATACCGAACAACGCAACAACGTCCTCACGGGTGTTGTCGTCGTCCTCGCCCTCGGGGGCTAGGCCTGGCAGCAAGACGACATCATTTTCAGCCATGGCGCCCTCGTCGTCATCCTCTCTAGCCCCGTTCCTCAACGGTGCGCGGGGCCACCTTGGTCGCTCTATGCCACAACTAGTGGACGACGCACGACTACCGACCTACGCAAAAAGAAGGGTTAGGGTTAGGGTTAGGGTTCATACTTGCGCAACCGGAGCCCGGTGTCAGAGAAAGAGAAGACGAGGGCCACCTAGAGGAAGACGACACACCGATTAGCAACGACGGCGAGCGGCAGAGGAGGGACAGACGGGGACACGAACTCACATAATCACCGAGATCTAGAGGGGAGAGAGAGGGAGGGAGAAGGGAGAGGCAGAGGGAGGGGATCAGGGTCAGGGAGGAGGAGAAGGGAGCATCGTCGCCGGCGACAGGCGGATCGGAGTCGGGGTCATCGGAGCTGCAGAGGAGACCGCGATGCGCGAGGCGAGAGCGAGACGACAGAGCAGCGCGGCGGGTGGGAAAATCACGAAATGATTTAGGGTTTCGGGGTGAGGGAAGGGACTGAGGGAGCGCCGTGGCCTCCCGCTTTTATACGAGGGGGAGGGGTAGGCGGGGGTACAGGGCCGCGGTCGCGGTCGCGGGGAGCCACTGGGGCCGGCTGGCCGACTGCGACTGGGGGGTGGTTTAACGGGCCGCTGCCGGGCTGGCACGCCGTGCCTGAGGTAAGGCCCAGGCCCAGCTTGCTATACCGGGCCGTGCCAGCCCAGGCCCGTACACCACCGGGCGGGGCCGTGTTCGTGTCGGGCCAAATTTGCGGGCTTCGGATCTGCTACACCCATGTCACTGTCATCAAGTAACATCACGCCGTGGCGACGCGGGAGGCGTCCCGGACCGGAGCCGCGCCATTGGGTCCCGCAGCTGTAACGCGACCACCACCAACGCCGTCTCCGTCTCTTACGCAACTATGTACGCCACTGACGCGAGGGGCCCAGTGGTAGCACGAACCACCGGTCAGCAGGAGGTGCGTGGAGAGCGGGGGAGGGGCGCACCGGAAAGCGCGGGTAGGCCGGGCGGGCGGGCGGGCCGCGTGCGTGAACGCCAGCGCCGCCCGCCGTGTCACGCTTTCCGTTGCTGGCTGGTTGGCTCGCAATCCCACGCAACGCAAGTCCGGCACGCGGGCTCCCTCCTCTTCCTCCGGCCAATCCTCCGCCGATTCCCCTCGCGCTTTTATTTATTCCCCGTCACGTCGCTCGCGTCCGGCTACACCCCGCACTAGTACACTCCACTACTCCCGCCGCCGCCGCCCCAGCCAGCCAGTGCCTGGCGGCAGGTGCAGGTGCAGGTGCAGCCGTGCGAGCGCTCCTGCAGCTCCTCCCTTCCCCTCTCGCCGTCTCGCGGCCCGGACCCGGGTCGCATTCCTTCCCGTCCGATCCGCGCAGGCGCAGGCCTCCCAATTCCCCTGCCCCCACCAGCCACCAGCCACCAAAAAGCAAGCAGCGCACCACTAGCTCGCCGAGCATCCGCATCGTATGAGTGCGCAGCAAGGAAGCTCGCGCGAGCCACCGCGCACGAGGGGACCAGACGCGATGTCGTCCTCGCCATCGTCGTCGCCGCCGGCCACTTCCCCGCCCGCCGCGCCGGCCAACGGTACGGCCGCGCCGCCCACTGCCGCGCCGCCGCCGCCGTCCAACTCCTCCTCTCCCACCTCCCCGACGCCCCCGTCCACGCCCACGCCCACGACACCGACGCCAGCGCTCGCTCCCCCCACCGCTCCCGCGCCGCCCGGGACGCCCCCCGCGCCGCTGTCCCCGAACGCGGCCGCGCTCCCCGCGCCCGGCAGGGCGACGCCGGCCTCGGCCTCGCCGCCGTCGCCGTCCTCCTCCGGGTCGGGACTCACCACGTCCGTCGTGGTGGGGATCGCGGTCGGCGGCTTCGCCGTGCTGCTCCTCGGCAGCCTGTTCTGCCTCTGCCTCTTCAGGAGCAACAAGAGGAGGCGGCGGCGGCACCACCACCACCCGCCCCCGCCACCGCCGCCGCCCCACCTCATGCACTACTACGGCCACCCGCCGCCGCCTCCGCCTCCGCCGCCGCCGCACAAAGGTGAGCTGCCGCCACCTCTGTTACGCTTCCCGAACAGGTGTCACGTCGCCATCACCTACTATAATTGTGCTGTGTTCTCTACTACCAGGGCGAATTGAATGTGGTTTGTGGGTTTTGATGATGCACAGCACAAATGTCGTTTTGCTTCTCTGCTTACCATAATCGTGGTTTTGCTTCGCCATCACCTAGCATAATCGTGCTGTATTCTCTGCTACCATACCAGGCCGAATTGTGAATGTGTTTTGTGGGTTTTGATGCACAGCACAATCGTGGTTTTGTTTCTCTCGAGGATTTTATTTTGGTGCGTGCGAGATGTGGCTACTGCTGGCGGCATGCCGGCATGTATGTCATGTGTGATTGATGACTAAAAAAACATTGACCGATTTTTTACTTTTGGAGGTTTTGTCGCATAATGTGGGTCACTGGAATCATGGGCCTAAGTTTAGTATGGAATATTGGTCATGTCGATGTTCGTCTATGTTCTACAATCTACATAATCAAGAGGGTGAATTTTTACAGCAAAAAACTGATAGCACTCCACATGGTTAGTGATTTTTTTGGGGGGAAATCATGGAATTCACAAGGTTTCAAGTCAAGTCACGAGGGAAAGAATTTTTTTCCAATTCTGGGTTTCACCATCATCATGTGAATGCGTTTACTTTAACCTTTATTTCTTCATTTTATTCTGCATTGGAAGTTTTCATGTGGGATTTCTTTCTCCATCATATTTTTTATTTAAAGTCACGACTGTCTTGCTTCAGGGGATCAGTACCAAAACTGGCAGCATAATGCCCCTCCACCACCACCTGACCATGTAATCAAGATTAATTCACATCCTACCCCTCCGCCTCCCCCGCTTAATGTACATAGCAGTGGCTCCGCTTCGAATCACTCAGGTGGTGAGAGCCGCCCTCCGCTGTCGCCTGGAACTGCCCTTAGCTTTTCAAGGAGTACATTCACTTACGAGCAGCTGATGACGGCAACCAATGGGTTTTCTGATGCTAATCTGCTGGGGCAAGGCGGTTTTGGGTTTGTTCACAAAGGAGTGCTTCCAAATGGCACAGAGGTTGCCGTGAAGCAATTAAGAGATGGAAGTGGCCAGGGAGCGCGAGTTCCAGGCAGAGGTTGAGATTATCAGCAGAGTACATCACAAACATCTTGTCTCCTTGGTCGGCTATTGCATTTCTGGAGCCAACAGGTTGCTTTCGTCTCACGAGTTTGTTCCAAACAATACATTGAATTCCACTTACATGGTATGTTCTCTTCCTGTTTCTGCACTGTAATTACTTCATCTTGTTCAAAATGCTTTGTATGATCTCTCAAAGGCACCTTAGAAAATATGTAATATTGTTTTCCATATTTAGCAGCCACATGTTGTAGCTAATACATGTATCGTCATACACTAAAGTATCCTAGTAAAAAGTACTGATGATTTGCAACGGGAAACTTGTGAAATCAAGGTACACATATACAACAATTGTTGAATATTTTGTCATTCCTTTTCACCGAAGCAACCTAAGATGTATACTTAGGATATGTTATTGCTTGCTCAGAATAATTGAGTACTATAGGAATTTTGATTTGTTAAAGTGCATTATAGCGACCTGCCTCTCCTATGTATTCGAGAATTTCGTCAAGCCATAACAGTAGCCACAAACAAACCCATCACTGGAAGCTACTAACTTTAATGCTACTCTTTTCTTTAGTTTGAATTATATGTTATATTCATTCAGCCTGTCAAATTGTTAGGAGTATTAGAAAAGACAAGAAGATGTCCCCATTCAATGCAATGGCTGAGCTTGTGCTAAAGATGGAAAATGATTTCTGACTCTGATAGTTTCTCAACCACTTCTGATATAAATCCTGAACATTTTGCTTGGACCACACGTCCACACACATCTGTCATACCGTCTGCTATACCCTTTTGGTTTTTGTTCCTTGAGCACATGCTGAGGGTTATCTTATCCTTTGTTTCAGGAAGAGGCAGACCAACCTTGGATTGGCTGACAAGACTAAAAATTGCTCTGGGTTCTGCGAAGGGATTGGCATATCTTCATGAAGATTGTGAGCTCATAGCCATAGCTACTTCTTATGCTTTGAGCTTTCTTTTTTGCTTTTGGATGGGCAAGTAGCTATTCTATACTGATTTTATTCTGCTGTCACTCCATAGGCCATCCTAAGATCATTCATCGTGACATAAAGGCCTCAAATATTCTTCTTGATCTAAGATTTGAAGCTAAGGTATCCTCTACTTTCTCCGTTTCCCTTCCTTTTCCTAAGGGGTAACATACTTTCTCCATGGATTTGTCATTGTTCCTTGAATGGACTAGAAACTTCTATACAATTGAACTAGGCTAAGCCTTTAAGGCTAGTTGAGATGATTATATTCAGATGACATAATGTTTTGACAAACAGATGTACAATTATTACCAGTCACATTAAATAGTTGATGTGAACCTACTAACTTACTATCACAAACATATGCACTAGTGTAATTTGCTAAGTGCCTTTCTTTGCAGGTGGCAGATTTTGGACTTGCAAAATTCACTTCTGATACAGACACCCATATTTCAACCAGAGTAATGGGCACATTTGGGTATGTTCAGTCTTAGGGTGTAATATCATCTCATTTTATTTTATTGTTTCAAAACATAAGACCTACCATGGTTATCTGTGTACACAATAGACATACAGGGTCTACCATATCAAATTGCTGTGTTAAATCTCTTACTCCTCATAGGTACCTAGCACCTGAGTATGCTGCTTCTGGCAAGCTCACTGAGAAATCAGATGTCTTCTCTTTTGGAGTAATGCTTCTTGAGCTAATAACTGGGCGGCGCCCTGTAAATTCAAGACAGGCAGATGACAACTTGGTTGACTGGGTAAGCGTGCGTGGAAACTAATTTGAATTTTCAGTACACACTACACAGTACTGTGGTTAACAGGGTCAACTCATTTCTTCCACTTTTTTTAGAACTGAGGATTTCCCCATTTCCATTAACAGAGTAACTGAAAGACAACAGTTTAGAAAGTTCAGAAAGCAGAAACAGAGTAGCCAGACAGTGCTAGAACAAGCAAGCCTTAACTACCGAAACCAGGGTCTTTCATCTGACAATATTTACTGTAATTCTGTGACTAGATATCATTGTTATTATTAACTATTGAGGTCTGTAATTAACAGCTGCATGCTTTTATCTTAGGTATAATGGTTTCCTTTGTCACTTTTTGATTGGGTTTCATGGCTTTCCTGTTTTGATCTTTGCATATGACTATTTTAACTATTCATCTCAGGCTGTTCATCATCATGTAAACTACAGATGATAATTCCTCTTGTCATTACTGTAAACATGTGCTTCTTCCTTTCATTATACTGATTTGTTTCTCCTGCAGGCAAGGCCTTTGATGATAAAAGCATTTGAGGATGGTAATCATGATGCTTTAGTGGATCCCCGGCTGGGAAGTGAGTATATTGGTAATGAGATGGCGAGGATGATAGCCTGTGCAGCTGCATGTGTTCGCCATTCTTCACGGCGGCGGCCACGAATGGGTCAGGTATACAAGTGAACTATTCTCTTGTAGGAAAAATTGCTTTGCCATCTCCAATGCAAGTTTATTGCCCTTGTATTTGAACTCTTTTTTTTTTAGTCCTGTTATCATGCTTATTCACTTGTAGCAAAAAAAGGTTTGCCAGTCAATTGTGAAAATTGCTCTTAAAGAGTCTATACTATAGTTACTCTAGATTCAGTTATGCAGTAGGAGTAACAAACAAGAGGTGCCAACACTGTTTGAGCCTTCAGGTTTTCACCATGGCAGTGGTTCAACTAACCTTATGTATACTCTGCTATATCGTTATCTTCTTGATTGATGAGGACATGTTGTACTATTAGTTTTGACTAATCTAGTTTCGTATTACTTCGACGATGAATTCTAAGAAGAAATCATCTGCTCTTGGTGCCTGATCCACGCAGGTTGTCCGGGCCTTGGAAGGCGACGTGTCCCTGGACGACCTGAACGAGGGCGTGCGGCCCGGGCACAGCCGGTTCATGGGGTCCTACAGCAGCTCGGCGTCCGACTACGACACCAACCAGTACAACGAGGACCTGAAGAAGTTCCGGAAGATGGCGCTGGGCGGCAGCGGGCTCCAGAGCAGCAGCGGGCAGACGCCAACGAGCGAGTACGGGCAGAACCAGTCGGTGTCGAGCAGCGACGGGCACCAGGGGACGACGCAGGAGGCGGCGGAGCCGGCGGGGAGCGTGAAGACAGACGGCGACAGCGCGGCCGCGGCGTCGTGAGTCGTGAGTCGTGAGGCGTGGCAGCCCCCCGCGCATCTGTAAATCCTCCACTCGTCCTCCTAGCTACGGTACCTACGTAGAACCTAGCTAGCTGATTGATTGCTGACCTGCTGCCGGGAGAACCGAGATGTTCTGTTCGGTTGAGATAGCTTTGTTTCTTCTTTTCTTTTCTTTTCTTTTTTCGGTCCTTTTGGGGGTAGATTCAGTTCACTGGTCTCATGCGATCTCGCCGCTACTGAGGATGTTTTACATGAGGCATATCTTCCTATAAATCCATGACTCTTAAAAACTGATTATTGACGCTATGAGTTTGAGCAGAGTTGATAAAAACTGTCGTTGGACTGGCTGCACGGAATCGATTGGGATGAGCAGCCCACGGAGCACGGCTGAGTTGCGTGGAGTTTGAGCCGTCCGCGTATGTGGTGTCAACTGGGACGTGTTATATGCGTCCATGATTGATAGATGGCATCTACTATCATTAAGCCGGCTTGGTTTGGCCGCCAGAAACACATGCCACGTCGCCCAAAATAATTTTGACCGTTCGATCTCCTCAACCGACGACCTAGATCTCTTGGATCGGATTTTACCGGAAGCTGATTCTCCTGCTTCATCTTACCTTCTCCGGCTTCTGCTCAGCTTCTTTCTCGCTTCTCCCGCTTCTCGTCGGAATCCACCCAGACAAATATATACTCAGCTTCGGCTTCTCATTCACGAAACTTCTCTTCCCCTCATCTCTCTCATGTTCGCTCTCTCGCTCTCCCTCTCCGACGCGGGCAGGGGGCCACGGCGGGCGCCAGCGTCCGCGTCGGCGGCTGGCGCGACGACGGCGGCCACCATCCTCCTCCTCCGTAGCCCTCCCTCGCCTGCCGCTCGTCTTCGTCTCTCCTGCCCTTTCCTCTCTCTCTCTCCCCTTCCCTCTCCAACTGTCGCCTGTTGCGAGGCGGCGACCGCCCCCTGCAGTCGTCGCGGTTGGGGCCCGGCGGACCCCTCCCTCTCCCACATCCTGCGCGCGGAGCTCGTCAACGCTTTCTCCCTCTGCTCTGTTTGCTCGTGTGCTACAGTCGCTACAGGAAACCCTAGCTGCCTGTTTTCGACCAGGTGTGTACTGATGCGTTCATTCTATTGGTTCAGTTGTTCATCAATTTGATTAGTTTAGTGTTTCTTCTATGAGTTTGTATTTTGTTTACCTGGGTTCTGTTCACATGGGTTCATGCCTCATTTCATACCTGTGCAATTGTGCCTACATGTATTCAATATGTACTGATCCTGCGATACGTGCGGCGTCGGCGGATGATAGCTTCGATCGGGTATGTATTGATGTGCTCATTTAATTGGATCATTTAATTGTTGATCAATTCGGTTGTATTTTGTTTACCTGGGTTCTGTTCACCTGGGTTTATGCCTCATTTCATACCTGTGCAATTGCGCCTACATGTATTCAATATGTACTGATCCTGCGCTACGTGCGGCGTCGGCGGATGATAACTTCGATCAGGTATGTATTGATGCGCTCATTTAATTGGTTCATTTAATTGTTGATCAAATCGGTTAGTTCATGGTTTTCGTATTTTATTTGGGTGGGTTTAGGTTCCGTTTCGAAATGTACTGATCCTGCAAAATCGTTAGTTTATGGTTCGAACCGTGAATGTGTATTTTGATGCGCTCAAGGGTTGCTTGCTTCTTACCAAATATAGTGCATGAAAATGACCTACTTTGGTGGCAAACATTACTTACCAGTTAGAAATATTGTTGTTTTTAAATCTTAGCCTGTCAAAAACCTATGTTTTGCATTCAGACTCTAAACAATACAATGTATGCCTCTTCCTTTTTTCATGGTAATGCTTCAGTTCTGTGCAATTCCTGCTGTTCATGCCCCTTCCTATTTCCTACTTAATAGGATGCTGAATATATATATTTTTTTAAAAGAAGGATGCTGAATAAAATATTCAATTCTGAGCATAGATAATAACTACAGCAAGTTAACCAGCCTCTGCCTTAGGCTGTTACTTCAGTACAACGCTTGAGCGCACAATCTTCTATTGAGTTCTCATGCTACTTTACATGGTAACAAACGCCGATCCTAGAACACCGATCCTATCTCAATACCACAGGACACGTAGCTTTGCAAGTTTTCCTTCATTGCTAGGTATTCAAATGTCATTTATTGGATCTGAAGTTTGTTCTTGTTTCATTTCTACTTCGTTCCTACGGTATCATTATAGATTATAGGTATTAAGATAAAGACTAAAGTTTCCGGCGACATCTCTTTTTTCCTCTCTTCTTCTTTTCTGAAGTATCTTTTTCAGTTCTCGTACATGTGTTCCAAATTCAGTTGACCACGTCTTTATAGATAAAGATAATTTCGTGTTTCGATAATTGCTGTGCACAAGCATCGTCTTTTTGTTACGTATAGGCCTTTTAGGTTAAAAGAGCATATTATGAGGCCTTTCCTACTTCGTTCCTACGGTACCATTATAGATTATAGGTGTTAAGATAAAGACTAAAGTTTCCGGCGACATCTCTTTTTTCCTCTCTTCTTCTTTTCTGAAGTATCTTTTTCAGTGCTCGTACATTTGTTCCAAATTCAGTTCACCACTTCTTTATAAATAAAGATAATTTCGTGTTTCGATAATTGCTGTGCACAAGCATCGTCTTTTTGTTACGTATAGGCCTCTTAGGTTAAAAGAGCATATTCTGAGGCCTTTCCTAATCGAAATGTGCCAGGTAGTGCAAGCAGCCTCTCATGAATGGTGATATAATGCATTTTCGAATTGGAATTGGAATGCTCTTGATCAATTTTGCTTTGCCTTTTGCTGCACTTCTTGCGACTTGCCCGTCTCTCAGTTTCCATGGTTTTGACTTCCTGTAGATCTGTCTTCTATCTCTGTGTTTACATGGAACTGTCTACATGTACAGATCAAGGATGCTATGAATGTATATTCTGTACATGCTATGTATACATGCTAAACGATTCAGCTTTCCATGCAAACTTTCAACCTGACAGATATTTCTTTTATGCCCATCAGCTACAACCATCTGTGTATGATGCGTGTTCATTTACTTGCAGATTTTATTTGGTTGTCTGCTTACCAAATAACAGCGGTTAAGCCATGTTTTAAGAATATTATAAGCCTTACCTATTATACAAAATTTCATCTGTATTCACTTCTCATCTTGCAATCAGTTAACACTGTATATCTGAATTGTCGCGTTTATCTCAAAAATATTAATCGCTCGACTGCTTTCTGCAGGCTAATCACACAGAGCTTTATCCCCTTACCGGCGCGCGCGACAATGGGGGAGGGTGCTAGCCTGGCTTGGCGCTGTACAATTATGGCGGCGGCTTCTGCCTTGACCCAGTAGAAAATCACACGCTAACAACTGCTTCTTCTTTGGAGGTATGCTACTTTTTTTTACTGTTCCTCCGCTTGCCCTTTCTTTATTATCCTAAATGTGATTCAATGTATGTTTGCAAAATATTTATGGTCTAGGAAAACAATATTTTAATCTAATATGGCTTCGGTTTTCCCTCTCAGTGCCGCTTCATTTAGGGCACCTCGAGAAAGTTCATGTCTCGGGATGATTAGTATAGTTGTACCCTACGTTATTTGTGGAAGACGAGAAAATCTAGATTTTAGCATCCCATCAATTTCAAGGTATAGATGCCGTTACGTTTGATTTCCGTTTAATCGCCGGCGCGCGTGATGGACTATTACAACATTATACTGACAGTGACAGCAATGCAGCGGATACAGGCTGTGCTGAACTGCTGACTGCCGACACCTGGAGACGACAATGCAGGACCATGTGTTGAGCTGGTTTGCATGCACAGCACCGGGCCAGACGACAGAACGGGAAGACGAGAATCCGTTCTGTTACCGAATGCGGTGCATGTGCGGTGTGCCATCAGAAAAGATTTTTATTTTTATTTTTAACATTTTTTGTAAACTAATTTTAAATCTAACACTGTTTAATTTTTTTTCTCCAAAACTAACACTTTTGGCCGCGTATATTGCTATGGCGCGGCGAAACGTCTGTACCGCGCCATGCATGGTGGCGCGGCGGGAGGACGACATGGCGACGACCGGTGATGTGGCAGGGTCTGCCACGCCATAGACCACGGCGCGGCACTGACGCGCTAAGGCCCATGGCGCGGCAGGACCTGGACGCAGACAGAAGACCAGCCTCAGCTGCTGTCGGTGAGGATCGGCAGCGACGCGATCATGGACCCCGGTTTCGCGTCGTAGCTGAACGACACTTGCAGCTCCGACCCCAATGCCTTCGCCTTCCTCGACCCCTCGCCGGTGGGCTTCGACAACGCCTTCTACCGGAACCTGCAGGTCGGCAAGGGCCTCCTAGGCTCCGACCAGGTGATCTACTCCGACATGAGGTCGCGCAGCACGGTCGACTACTATGCGTCCAACCAGGGTGCCTTCTTCAGCAATTTCGTGGCAGCGATGACCAAGCTCGGGAGGATTGGGGTCAAGACACCGGCCACCGATAGCGAGATACGCCGGGACTTTCGGTTCCCAAACTAATTGCTAGTTAATCTTACCGACAGTGCTGCCGCGACGCATTGAAACGAATATGAAGCAAATAAATGGAGTCCATGCGCAAATTGACAAGTTGCCACATAATATTTTCGTTGGTTCATGAGTCTGCAAGTTTCGGACAATAATATTTGTTCGACATAACTAACTAAGTCCCAAGAGTGTAAGGATCACTCGGACGCCTCTGTCTCTTTGGATTTGTAGGCAACACATTGGGAGTGTAGCCAACGTCGGTGTGGTCGCGTTGCCGGTGCGTACGGCTCGTACCCTGCAAGTATATGATATGCACGATTACTTATAATCTTTATGATCGTTAGTTTATGGAGTCTACATATTTAAAGAAACTACCTTTGTTACTACCTGTGAGGCTCCTTGGGTACCAAGCGGGGCACCACCTAGCTGAGACATGCCGATCTCGTCCTGCGGCCAATCGTCCCACTGATGGTGCTGTCTGTGGAAGCCCGGAAGTCACCGTCGTCGTCATCGTCGTCCTCGTTTGCATGGTCCTTCCCAGCGCTATGATGTGGTGGTGTACGCACTACGGAAGTGGCACCTGTCACCGGCTGAGAAGAGCCAGCTGGTGTCCTCAAAGAGCCAGAAGACGTGCCACCCGACCACGCCGTGACTGCCGGTTCCACCCAAGAAGTGTCCATGTAGCTCAGCTTCTGAGCTAGCTTCCTGCAGCTCCGCTTAACCTTCTGCATAAATAGATGTTAAAGTTAGTGCATTTTCTAAACGCATATACACTAAAGAAACATTTTTGGAATGTAAAAGTTTATGTTTACCTCTACAAAAGCCTCGAGAACGCCTGTCCCCAGCCCTCTAGACTCGTGAAGCTGAAATGCTGTTTCGTTGGATAGCCTTGACAATTGTGTCGTCTGGGTACAGAAACGCGGTTGGACAGTTTTAGTACACATACTTAATACCAAATGAATAACAAATTATACCATTCGAGTATCTTACCATGTATCTTTGAAGCGGGGCTCTCTGTAGTTGTGTGTCGTCCCTAGTGATAACATCGTACACATCTTCGATCACATCTTCCTCGTCGTCCTCGTCAATCGCCTCCTCAGTGTACGGGGGCTTGATATGTGTCCTCGTAGACCTGTGAAGCCACTACAGGTACTCGTCGAAGGTGTGCTGATCGTGTGGGGGACCCGTATCGACCTGCTGCCGGTCCCCGTTCTGCCACAACTAGATGTATGCGTTGTGTCACGCGCCAATCCTTGGTCTTGCACCTCTTCCTACGGTCATACCAGCAACAAAGCGATTGTTAGTTGTACCATACACACCTCTGAATTATAGCTTTGTTATTAATCGATAACACACCCGTGTAATTTTTGGTTGGTGGAGTAAGTGGTGGGTAGCCTACCATTCTTCCAAACTGCCTGCAAATCCTGATGGGCAAGTGAATCTCGACCACGTGGAAGAAAATAAGAGGGACGTTGTAGCGATACTCGTCTGACTCATCCCTAGTGACAGGACTCAGATAGTACTCGAGCTCCGAAGCATCCCAAGGACACCAATGCACCTGAACATTTCGTAATTGAGTTAGGTTGTGATATAGTGTACATCAAACAAGACACATGTATGATAGTAAAGAGAGCGTAACCTGGTGCTGTGTTAGGACGTCGAGACCGTCCGTGTACTCCCTGTACTTGCGCCTCGCATTCCCTCTAACTAACTCTGCTTGCGTCCAGATATACAGAGCTGTAGGAAAGTGTATCCTGCCCGTTCCAATGCTGCATTGAACACGATAATAAATTAGCCATTAATAATTTAATCATATGTAACTATCTCGAACAATATAGTAAACCGAAGTATTTACCGGTAAACCAGTAGTAAGGGGCCTCCCAATGGGCCATCGTTCCCAATACCAAACCTAGAGTAGGTAGTAGCAACCCCTAAGGTTTGCATACCCTGAGGTGCGACGGCGGGCAACACATAGTTGTCGATACGTCCATGCCAGGACTACATTGCTCCAGCTGTACGCCACTATGTTATCCCACAACTGGCATAGTATGTCAAGAAAGATCCAGCTGATGGTGTTGCCCGAGGCGTTTGGGAATAGGAAAGCACCAAGGAAGTGCCAGAGCCACACTCTAGCGAACCTGTCGATCTGAGCCTCATCAGCCTATGGGTTCAAGTAATTAAAGCGCTCTGTGATCCACGACGACGAAACACCGGAATTTTCCTAAAATTCACCAAAGAAAATGAGACCCGATGACTGTAGAAAAGCAATACAAATATTAAATATGCTTGAATTGCTCACTTATTTTTCTTGGAAACCTTGTCGTCCGGTGGAAGAAAGCCAGTGAACTGAGCCACCAGCTTCCTCCAATAATCGTTGTCAACTATACCTGTCACTGGAAGTCTTCTCCAACCGAAGGCTAAAGATAGCCTTTACGTTCTGTATGGTCAAAGTCATCTCGCCGCAAGATAGGTGGAACGTGCGGGTCTTAGGTCTCCACTTGTTATAAGAATAGAATGACTGTTAATTGCCTCAAATTTGTTATAAAAATGTTTACGTACAATAAAGGCACTCGCCTCACACCTGTCTACAGCTGCAGTAAGTAGTGCTGGGTCAAGGGACGGAAGACCGTAGTTGACAACACGGACAAGTTTGAGGAAGCCGGCATGCCGTATGTACGGCGCGTAACGCTCGTCCCACTGGTACACCCTGGTGTGCGTGCGGGGCCTCAAAGGAGGCAAGGGCACCTCTGCGTCGGTGTCACTCAAGAAGTGTGCTCGGTACGGCTCATCATACTCCACCTCAAGAAGGGGTACAACGGATGCTGCGTAGGAGAGGCCATCCTGTTATAAATTGATAAACAAAGGGTTAGAGTATTCAAATTAACGATATTCAAATTAACATTATGTAGCATTGTAAAATTTGAACTACTTGTTATGCAATAGGAACACAATATGAAAGCACATGTATATATTCAAAGTAACATTAATAGACATATTAAACAACTTCACCAGGAAAATAAGCAACTTCTATGTATGGACCTGCTATCCACCAGTGTTTCTGTGAGAAATATGAGATAGCTTGGATAGTCATAATTTTACCTCCTTGATTCCTAAGTTTTACGATTTGTATATGCTGTTAGCAGTACGATATCGATAATATTGTGCATGATTTTGGAGGTTCTAGTGCTTTCAATATATGCTTGAGTAAAATGATCATTTGGATTAATGTTTCCATATAAGAAAACAAGCATATAACAATTTAAATCATAAAAACTCAACCAACCAAATTTGTCGCTATATATATGTATGTCTAGTGCACAAAAAAAAACACATAAATAGATTTATATTTCACGTGTCTTTTAATTAGTCATTTGTTTTCGCTATAATTAATAATACGTTGTAAGAAAATTAACAATTAAAGTATATAAATAATAATATAATGTAAGATAAATTAACAACTAATATTTTAAAAGAATCTCTCAATCTAATGGCTAACGATTAATATAAAGGGGTAGTGAAGGTATAAGGGTTTTGATTATGAAGAAATAGGCACCAAATTTCACCTTAGCGAGGGTTGAACTGCAGTGATGGCGTTCATGGCGCAGCGGGCAGCCGGTGTGCGTGGCCGGAGGGCGCGGTGGGCGGCCGGAGGGGGTGGCGCGCCTTCGTTCATGGCGGCGGCGGCGGCCGACGCGGCGGGTAGGCTGGAGGGAGGGCGGGCGGCTCGCGGGCAGGCAGGAGGGGGGGGCGGCTCGCGGGCGATATTTACCTGGTCCTGCCACACTGTGGGCCTTGGCGTGTCACTGTCGCGCAAGATTGGTGGCGCGACAGACCCTGCCACGTTACCGGTCAGCGCCATATCACCCCTCTCGCCGCGCCACCATGCATGGCGCGGCATAGGCGTTTCGCCACGCCATGGTAATAGGCGCGGCCAAAAGTGTTAGTTTTGAAGAAAAAATAGTGTTAGATTTAAAATTAGTTTAAAAAATGTTAAAAATAAATAAAAATCTCAGAAAACACGAGGCGACAGCAGAGCAGGCTCGCTCAACCGACAAGAGAGGGAGGGAGAGGCAATCACCCCACCAATCAGGCAGAGGCAGAGGCAGGTACAACCCGACAAAGAAAACAAGCCAACGGCAACAACAGAAAACCCAAGACCAAAGAGAAGACCTCCCCAAGCCAGCAGGCAACAGCGCAGAGTACTCCTATTAGTGCGCACCAATCACGACGCGAATCCCCCAGAACACGAGGCGGAATTTCCCATCCCGTCCTCCACCTCGGGTCCTCTTCCTCCTCCGCTTCTCGTCGCCGTGTCCGCACCGCGTCCACACGCTCCGGCTCCGTCCGAATCCGCCCGTGTCCGCGGACCCAGATCCGGCGCCTCGCGACCATGGCGACGCGCAGGCGAATGCTCCTCAAGGTCATCATCCTCGGCGACAGCGGGTGCGGCAGGCTCCCTCTCCCTTCCCCTTCCCCTTCCCCTTTCCTTTCCATTCCACGCCCATTTTTTCTGTCTGTCTGTTCGTTTGCTCATTTGATTGCTTGCGCCCGCGTTTGCTCGCAGGGTCGGCAAGACCTCGCTGATGAACCAGTAAGTCCGCCCCTGTCCGATCCCTCGATTTCACTTTACTTCGTTGTTGCGATGGTTCATCGGGGACCGATTTCTCGGTTTGGTGCGCGCAGGTACGTCAACAGCAAGTTCAGTAACCAGTACAAGGCCACCATCGGCGCGGATTTCCTCACCAAGGAGGTCCAGATCGACGACCGCCTCTTCACATTGCAGGTCTGCTTGCTTCGTCTTCTTACAGTTACAGCACCATTCATTTAGGTTTCTCTTCACTTGCCTTGCCTGGGGTTATCTATCTGGGATCTACTGTGAACCCCATGCCGGATTAGATTGGGGCGTCTGCTCCTGTGCGCCTCCAATGTGGTTGCACTGCCAGATTCTGAAGGGTCGGTTCAGTTTCGGACTTTGGGTCCTGGCATCCTGTGCTCCTCTTTCTAGATGAGGCTTGTTCACCATCCGACTAGCTAGCTGTGCTCAGAGTCTGAATCAACTATCACCTTCATTTGCCTAACACTTTGACAAGGCGGCTGCACTGGCTGCTTAGATCGTACGGCAACATTCATTATTTAATTGTTATTTAGTGCCGTGTGCTTCTTCACTATCGTGTGGGTTGCTTATTGGAGATGCTGAGTGGCTGAAGGATATTTTGGGGTTGTGCCCAGTAATTCCCTTTCAAGACTTTTGACTTTTGAGAGATGAAGTTTTACTAATTACGCCCTGTTTAGTTGGACCCCAAAGTCTAAAAAGTTGCTACAGTACCTGTCACATCGAATGTTTACGGCTCATGCATGGAGCATTAAATGTAGACGAAAATAAAAACTAATTGCACAGTTTGGTGGGAAATTGCGAGACGAACGTTTTGAGCCTAATTAGTCCATGTTTGAACACTATTTGCCAAATAAAAACGAACGTGCTACAGTAACCCTAAAATCCAAATTCACCCAACTAAACAAGGGCTTAATATTATGCCGCTTTCTGCTTTTTGCACATCACCCTGTCAAATGCCTTATGTTGCTCCTTTTCACATGTTTGTGTCTGTCACTCTATTGAATTTGTTTGCTACTTAAAATCATTAATCCCCAGTTCCTTAAAAAGCTGTTTTCCTTTCATTATTTCCATTTCGGCACAACCCAAATTTCATGGGTTAGCCAAGATATTTTTAGATTTGTCTTGCTCATAATGAATGATGCTGTGGAGAGGTGCTATATGACTATCATGTTCTTTGCAGTACTTACTATGTCAATCATTAGAGGCCATTAGTCATCATGTTTTGTTCCTTTAAAAAGAGATGTAACCAAAGAGGAAATGACAGGGGCTATTATGTCCATAATTTTATTTTGCCATTTATCAATTATGATTTCCCTTATCCAAATGAGGGATATGTTTCATTAGTCTTTTTGCTTATTATTATATGTATCATTAAATAAAAAAAGGGCGTACCTACCCAGTGCAGAGAGCTCCTGCTCTGTGGGGGGTCTGGGGAAGGGTGTTAGTGGCAAGCCTTACCCTCGCCTGTGCAATGCGAGTAGACCGCGACTCGACCCTGGGACCTTCCGGTCACAGGCGGTAAGACTCTACCGCTTGCACCAGGCCCGCCCTTCTTGTATCATTAAATAAAATAGTTTTTTTTGGGAGCCATGTGGTGTACAACAACAACAAAAAGTCTGTCAGTCCCAAACAAGTTGGGGTAGGCTAGAGTTGAAACCCACCAAGAGCCTCTAGTCACGGTTCAGGCACATCAATAGCTGCTTTCCAAGCACTCCTATTCAAACATAGATCTCTAGGTATATCCCAAGCTTTCAAATATCTTTTTATTACCTCCTCCCATGTCAATTTCGGTCTACCTCTACCTCTTCTCACATTATTAGCTTAGCTTAGGACTCCACAATGCACCGGTGGCTCTGATGTATTTGAATAAAATAGAATTTTTGGTTCAACTGAGCACATACCTGCCTGTTTTTATCACAATTGACTTGATAGCTGTTACGTCACAGGTACTACTTCAATCATGGGTAGCAATCGGCCTGTTTGCTTGATCGTTTCTGTGGCTTATAAGTCGGCTGATGCTGTTTTATTATGAGAGAAAAACACTGTATCATGGCTGATAAGCATGGCTGATACAATCAAGCAAACAGGGTGAATGTTTTTATATGCAACTACTGTTTATGAAACGGACGCTACCCTTTCCTTTTCATTTGAATGGGACCTAATACTTGTAATCTGTTTCTTAGTGTGATGGAATCAGTAACCATTCGCATTTTAGCTTACCACAGTTTTGTTTCACTGAAGCTTAGATATGGGATACGGCAGGACAGGAGCGGTTTCAAAGTCTTGGTGTGGCATTTTATCGGGGAGCTGACTGCTGTGTTCTCGTATACGACGTGAATGTTACTAAGTCATTTGAAAAGCTCAACAACTGGCGTGAGGAATTCTTAATTCAAGTAAGCAACCTTCTTATTAGCGATCTATATGTATGTCACTGTGTTTGCAAAAAAAAAAAAAGACTCACTGGTCATTATGCAGGCTAGCCCATCAGATCCAGAGAATTTCCCATTTGTTGTGCTTGGGAACAAGATTGACGTTGATGGTGGTAACAGCCGGACAGTGAGTATTTCTCGTCACAAGTTGTTATCCACTGGATTTATTCTGTACCGTTGTTAATTTTCTTTGATTTTCACTTTTCAGGTTTCTGAGAAAAAGGCTAAAGCATGGTGTGCTTCAAAGGGAAACATCCCCTACTTTGAGACGTCGGCTAAAGAGGGCTTCAATGTAGAGGCTGCTTTTGAGTGTATAGCGAGGAATGCTGTCAAAAATGAGCCAGAAGAAGATATGTAAGTTTGAATAGTATAACTCAGATATATATTATACATACAGGCAGCCTTGTGGTGTAACTTGGTTCTACGTTTTACCAACTTTTGTAGGTATCTTCCTGATACGATTGATGTTGGGGGCGCTGGAAGGCAACAACGTTCGTCAGGTTGTGAATGCTAGAAGATATGGAGCACGGCGATTTGCTCGGTTGGTTGGTTTGATTCTCTAGGGCTTGTTGTTTGGGTTGCCTGTCTCTTATCATATATATATTTAGTTTGCAAAACTGCTATTTGTGGATACTGGATAGTCTGGCAGTCTGCATGCGGGTGCTTATTGTCGACTCCCCTATGTAGATGCAGAGAATTCATTTGTTACTGCTGTTTCAGTGTTGTATCGGCGCTAGATGCTAGTGTTGTAATGCTTTTGATTGTTGATGAATTGCATATATGTATGTTTTGGTTAGTATTGCTGTAAATGAACTGAACATAGTGCCCATTTTGATAGTGTTGGTTCGTTGGTTTGACAGTGTTCTAATGCTCACTTTTATCGCACCGCCGGCGCCATCTAACAGCAGCAGTGAGGCAACCCGTGCTCATTTTCCACGAGCCAAAATTTCCACCACCTCATCGAATCATCCATACCATACGTCTCATTGGACCATACGTGAGAGCACTAGTGCAAACATGGACTACAATTATCTTGCTCGGTTCTCAATGGACCATCCATCCTTACCATACGTGAGAGCACTGGTGCAAACATGGACGTGTCACCGTTCCGTAGCCACAGGGCCTTCCTATCCTGGGACACCTGCCTCTTCTGGGCCCCTGCCGCACCGGAAGCTGTGGGCGATGGCGCAGGCGCACGGCCTGGTGATGCTCCTCGGCGGTGGCCCCACGGTGGTGGCCTCGTCGGCGTCAGCGGCACAGGAGGTGATGAAGACCAGCGACCTGGCGTTCGCGAGCCGCCCCAGGATACTCATGGCGGCGCCTCGCCGCTCACGGCGGTGGCGACGGGCCTTCGTCCCCCACGGCGAAGCATCGGGCGCCAGGGCCGCTGCGTCTGCGTGCTACACCTCCTCAGCCAGCGCCACGTCACCTCCTTCCGCCACGCCCGGCAGCAGGAGGTCGCCGCGATGCTCGCCGCCACAGACGCCTCCGCCCGGGACGCGACGGCGCCATCAACCTCACCGCCCAAATCATCTCCTACACCAAAGGCATCATCTCCAACGCCGCGTTCGACGGCAGAGGAGGGAGCTGTTAGCCACAGGATCACCGGCTCAAGCGAGTTGACCACTTACCAGTCTTGCCGAGCACCCGTTAGTGTTGCCGAGCACCCACTAGCTAAACCGACCACGAACAAATGTTGTCCGTCCCCACACACTATGGCTAGAGGTTGAAAAAGAGAGAGAACAGAGCATACACACACAGTACAAGACACCAGCGTTGGCCGAAGCCCTGCATGGGAGATGGCAAATATGAACTCTCTTTACTGAGTTGCCGTGGTAATCTATTTATACAACTCTATCCATCTAGTCCTAGTACAACGCACATGTTGCAACAGTAACTAGATAACACAAAGATGACCGACTTCTTACACTGTCTCGCATGTGGCTACAGGTCCCATAGTGAGCCATTCGGCGTCCCCTCAGAAGCGCATACAAGATTCACAAAGAGGGGCCTTTTTAAGGTGCCGCCTTCCCTTGCTGTGTGTTCACACAAGGAAGTAGTATATTATCTAACAATTCTTCCCATAATCCTACTGCTATCCCTTGTACCCCTCCATGTCGATCATCTCCTTCCGCTCCGTGAGTCGAAGACGTCCGAGCGGCTTGGTGAGGACGTCCACAAGTTGCCGACCAGCTTCGATTTAACTCGATGACGATCGCCTCCATCGACCACGCCTCTCTAAGAAAGTGGAACTTCACGTCGATGTGTTTGCTCCGGTCGTGCAGAACCGGATTCTTCACGAGGGCGATGGCGGGCTGGTTGTCCAACATTAGTGCTGGTGGGTGAGCTTCCACGCCGGTCAGCTCGCCCAGCAGTCGGCGCAGCCACACAACTTGGCATGCCGCTGTGGCCGCCACTACGTACTCTGCCTCGCATGTAGATAGCGCCACCACCTTCTGTTTCAGCGATAACCATGAAATTAGTGCCGACCCGAGGAAGACGAGCACGCCAGAGGTGATCTATCGTCCGTCGATGTCCCCTGCCATGTCTGCATCGCTGAACACAGTGAGCTGCAACCTACTCCCGCCGGTCTTGGGGAAGATGATCCCCTGATCCACCGTCCCCTTAACGTAGCGCAGTAGCCGCTTTACCGTAGCCCAGTGATCCTCCCTGGGATCCTCCATGAAGCGACTGACATAGCCCACGACGAACGTAATGTTCGGCCTCGTGTGGACTAGGTAGCACACACCGCCGACAATGCTCTAGTAGAGTGTTGCATCCACCTTCGCCGCGGTACTGGCCTTTGTCAGCTTCAGCTGCTCCTCCATCGGAGTCACACATGGCTTGCACTCAGCCATGCTGCTCCGCTCCAACAGCTTGGAGGCATACGCGCTCTGACCGAGCGTGAGTTCCTCCTTCTCCTGTCTCACCTCGATCCCGAGGTAGTAGGAGAGTGCGCTGAGATCACTCATTCGAAAATGAGTTGCCATCTCGTGCTTGAAGCCGTTGATGTCCTCCGTGCGTGCGTTGGTGACGATCAAGTCATCCACATACACGCCGACGACGAGCTCCTTCTTCCCCCGTCACCGCGTGTATATCCCGTGCTCGGTTGCGAACCGCTGAAACCCAAGCTCGCCCAGCGTGGCGTCAAGCTTGGCGTTCCATGCTCATAGGGCCTGCCATAGCCCGTAGAGCGCCTTGCGCAGTCGGAGCACCCTGTGCTCCTCTCCCTTGATGGCGAAACCTGGAGGTTGCCTGACGAAGACCGTCTCCGCAAGCTCGCCGTTGAGGAAGGTCGATTTAATGTCCAGGTGATGGACGCGCTAGTCCTTTGGTGCTGCCAAGGCTAGTAGCAAACGGACCGACTCCATGCGCGCTACTGGCGTAAAGACCTCCTCGAAGTCTATGCCCTCGTGTTGAACAAAGCCTCAGGCGACGAGGCACGCCTTGTGCTTGACAATGGCGCCGAGCTCATCCCGCTTGACCTTGTACACCCACTTCAGGCTGATCGAACGGCATCCTGGAGGTGGATCGACGAGCTACCATGTCTCGTTTTCCTCGATCGCCTTCATCTCCTCCAGCATCGCCCGTCGCCAGTTTCTATCACGCTCGGCAAGCGCGAATGTGGGTGGTTCCTCAGCACTAACGAGCAACAGCTCTTGATCATTGAGTAGTCGACCAGCCAGGCCTGAGGGCCCTGTGCCGTCGACGATGTCGTCTAGCCTACGGAACCACACCTCCTCACCTTCGTGGAAGGCATCCACGAATTCAGTGATGTCACCTGGAGGTGAGGCGAACTCAATCAGTGTTGATGGAGTTCCCTGTTCCGTTGGAGTGCTCAGCACAACACCTGGAGTGCTCAGCACTACTTCTAGACAGCTCGTCACTACTCTTGTAGTGCTTGGCACCACTGTAGGAGTGCTCAGCCTCAGTCTTGGAGTGGTTGGCACCACTGCAAGACCTCTTGGCTCCGCTACGGGAGTGCTCGGCACCCGTCCTGGAGTGGTCGCCACCACTGCAGAACCTCTCGACGCCACTCCTGGCGTGCTCGACATCCTTCCTGGAGTGCTCGGCACTCCTTCCGTAGTGCTCGGCATCCCTCCCGAAGTGCTCGGCACTGCCCCAGGAGTGCTCGGCTCTACCGCTGGAGTGCTCGGCACTCCTCCCGGAGTGCTCGACACCTCTTCCCCAGCATCTCCAAAACCGTGGATGACTAGGTGCTCGACGACGAAGGTGCTGGTGAAGGCGCCAGCTTCCCCCGTGCTTGGACTGTTCCAGTCCCAAGCCGCCTTCTCATCAAACACGATGTTGCGCGAGACAAGCACCTTGTCTCCTCGTGGGTCATAGAGCCGGTACGCCTTGGTACCCTCCGCGTAGCCTAGGAACACCATCGGTGTGCTCCTATCCTCCAGCTTGGTGAGGATTAGCTTTGTCTTCCTGACGTGGCCGATGCAGCCGAATGTCCGGAGGAAGGACATGCTCGGCTTGCGCCCATACCAAGCTTCGAATAGCGTCTTGCCCATCAGGGACTTGGTCGGAGCGTGGTTGAGGATGAACACCGCCGTGTTCACCGCCTCACCCTAGAACCTTGCCGGCATGCCTTTGGCCTTCATCATGGATCGAGCCATGCCGACCACCGTATGGTTCCGCCTCTCCACCACGCCATTCTGTTGTGGCGAGTACGGCACGGTGTGGTGGCGCACCACACCTTGATCCGCGCAGTATGCAGCGAACTCCACCGAAGTGAATTTGCCACCGTGATCAGTCCTCAGCGTACAGAGTTTCTTGCCGCTCTCGGCCTCCACGTGTGTCTTGAACTTCTTGATCATCGCCACCACTTTGTCCTTGCTCGTTAGGAGTTGCAGCCACATGTAGCGACTACAATCATCTATGAGCAGGAGGAAGTACCGCCGACCACCATTTGTAGCTAGCATGATTGGCCCGCAGAGGTCGTTGTGGACGAGCTTGAGAGCGTCCTTCGCGCGATACTTGGCCGCCTTTGGGAATGGTAGCCTCCTCTGCTTCCTGGCTAGGCAGCTATCACACAGCTCGCCTCCGTGCTTGATGTGGGGTAGCCCTCGGACCATCTTCTCTAGCCGACCAAGCGCGTCAAAGCTGAGATGTCTGAACCGGGCATGCCACATCCATGGTTCCTCGGTGTGCCTTGCCGCCAGGCACACCAGCTGCTCTACCTTCAGGTTGAGCATGTACAACCGGTTCAGGGACCTCTTCACCTTGGCGAGAAGTCACTGCTCCTGGTCCCTGATCCTAAGGACTCCATCCTTGATCAGTACCTCGCTACCACGCTCATCCAGCTAACCAATGCTGATGATGCTGGAACGCAGCTGCAGGATGTAATATATATTCGTTAACATGTGGTGCTCCCCGTTCTGGCACCTTAAGATGATGGTGCTGCGTCCTTGGATTGCCACCCTTGAGCCGTCACCAAACTTCACCGTACCGGTAACATCGTCGTCGAGCTCGGAGAAGGATGCTTTGGAGCCTGTTATGTGGTTGCTGGCACCAGAGTCCAGATACCACCGCTGCTCCTGATCAGCACCCA